ATCTTCAGGCTCATGCCCGTTTCCATGCTGATGGACGACTACCGTGATTAGTGCTCCAGGTTCCACATAGCTCACAGGACCAAAACCACACTCCCACGTTGTTTTAAATCTTTAACGAAACGGACCAGCACATCCCCAAAGCCATCCAAGATTTTGATCGGCTGCGGGACTCCGTATGGAAGCAAGGTGGCCTCCGTCTTGACATCAAGCTGAGTGTGCAAAAAGCTGCACCTTAACGACGTTGCCGCATGATACAGAGACTTAGAAAGTTCAAGAAAAACGGGCACGGAAAATGAATGACGTCCACCTCAGTTGTGTAAGGTGGAAGCCAAATGTGGGGTTGCAGAACAGGAAGTGGACACGAAAATTCTGGAACGACCGGTATCTTCAGCATCAGCGTCATGCTGAAGCAAATGCAACTACAATAGAGCGGTCACTTCGTGAGGATGAGCGATTAGCACCCACCTAGTTCAGTTTATTTCAGTGTTGTGTTAAGGATAATAGGCAAAGCCTCTGAAAACCCTACTGATTACATGCCAGCTCCTTAGGAATAACTGTACACGAACAATGAAAATATTCTCTATTAAAACAGCATTTGATTCATTTGAGTAGCATTGTCTCGAAGAAAACTTTTGCGTGTTCCTGGGGTATTTAGTTCAGATTCAGACTGTCGAGGGAAAACAGGGGACACAAATAACCATCCAAGCGCTTCTTGAAAATTTGCAGAGACGTAGCGTCCACGACGGACTGAGGATGATCGTTACATTTCTCTACTACCCTTTGCGTGAAAAATTCAGAACGAAGATTCCGCCTGGGCATTGTTGTCCGTAACTTCATCGAGTGACCACAAAATTGGGTGAAAAGTGTCACTGAAACATGTCCTGAAAGCCAAGTCCATGCTCAAGGCCATGTATCATCTTGTAGACGAGGGTAAGATCACCTCTTTGCTGCCTATAACACAAAGGGAATAAATGAAGGCAATTCATTTTGCCTGTGTATGATTGACTTTTTAGGCCGTTTATCTGCTTTGTTTCATGACGTTTTACCCGTTCGAGGCATGCTTGATCCTTTACTAGCCATGACCGCCATGCTTGTAAGCCATATTCTAAGTGGAGCCAAATAGAGGTACCGTAAACTCTTCCAAAAAGATCTTGGTCAAAGGTCACGAACGCCCTTTTGATTGCATGAAGCACGCCCATGTCGTTCTTTGCAGCCTTGTGGCACTGTAGTGTTTGTTTCAGGTTGTTCTCTATCCAAACCCCGAGATCCTTTTGTGAAGATTCTGCGGGTAGTCCTATTTCTTTCAGACGATATGTTCTCAAGCTCTCATTTGAATGAGAGTTGGTTGGACGCAGACGAAGGGCGGCACACGTCTCCACATTGAAACCTAGAAGCTATTTCTCCGACCGCGCTTGCAGTTGGTGCAAATTATCTTGAAGGGATCTTTGAGCATTCGAACCCTTAATGACTTGCCAGAGCGTAACGTCCTCGGCAAACATTAGTTTGCAGCCGTCGAGTTCCCGAATGCAGTCATTAACATAATGTTCGCTGTCGTACCAAATTATGGCCAAGTGTTTGTTGTGGCCAGGGAACGTGGTAGTATGCTTAGGTGCGAGTTTTCGCTGTGCCAATCACCTGCGCCCTCTTTCGTCTCCGGTCTTCTTAACTCTGTCTTGACAATCGGTCCAGGTGGGGGAGGATGAGGATGAAGAGAAGGGGGAAGGGAGGTGGAGGAGGAGCAGGAGGAGGAGGAGGAGGAGTGCGGTAGATGCAGCGCGAGTCAAATACCACTTCAAATCAACTTAAACGCAAGTCACCATCCTTGTTCTCACTTTACTGTGGAGCACACGGAGGACATCGTCGGTCACGACTTTCGAACGGAGAGATGACATCCGCAGTGACCGTCTTCGGGCATCCCAATGAGGGCTGACTAATCAAATGTCAGTTGTGTATAATGACTCACTGAACTATGGTGGGAATCCTTGCCAACTGTATTAGTTTCAGATCTCGAAACAGTGGCATGTTCTTTGACCCAAGCAAGACCTTTGATAACGAGTTGAAAGATCAATCGCAAAATTTCTTAGTTGTTAACGTAATGAGGCGATTTCAGCGTTTTGTGATTGCACCGTGCATTCCATATGCTTGTTGTAGATTATGTCCCACACGCGATCACTGTCGGCCATGGCATTTTAAGGCTCATTTCTCGAGTTTCAACTTCTCGTGGTGTGAACGAGTTGCTTAGCATTTCCCCTTTTTCGACAAAAATTCTGTTTTGGATAAGCAACAATAAAATTTTAAATGACTCACTGCTTAGATTCGAAGTTTGGCTCGGCAAGTGGAATAGGAAAATAATGCGGGAAAAGGCCACCCAATCTTATCTGATCCTGTCTGCAATGCGGAACTTAAAATTATTAATTATGCAAGCGTGGTATCTTCTGAGCAACGTTCGAAAGCTGCGAATAGGACACAGAACGAGCTGTTCAAAAACATGACTGGATAAATTTACACATTCGTTCACAGATTCTGTTCGACCACATTATGTGTACAGCCCGCTCGCTTGGCGTCCATATCTAGTTAGTGAAGTATAAGGCATTGTAAAAATGTGTCAGGCTCAGAAACTTTGCTACTAATATTAGTTTCAGTAGATGTTCTACGGTTAGCACATCTAGGTTTGGGATAAGGGTTCGGAGTTAATGGGCCAGAGTTACGGGATTGGGGCTAAAGTTGGAGGATTAGGATTAGGACTGCGGGATCAGGGCTAGGGTTAGAGGACTAGGGCTAGTACTATAATTAAGGTTCGGGTAAGGATTCGATTTAGGGCTAGGGTGCTGACCAGGATTTGGGCTATCATTCGGGTTGGGTTTACTTGTTAGCTTTCCGTTCGGAATGACTTGCTTGCTTTCTGTTACGATCGGCGATGGTTTTCTCGATTTACTTTCTCTGTTAAGTTAGGCTTAATGTTCAGTTTTCGGCTTATGAGGTTTCCAATTGGCCTTCCTTTTAAGTTTTTGGCGATATGCTTTACTGCCAATTTCGCACCCACTTCGCACAGCTTCCATCAACGGCTTCCGTCTGGTTGGCCAACCACTTGGGCAGTTCACTTTCGATGACCTTGATAGGCCAATTGCCATTACTCCTACTGGAGTCAACTTTTCTGGTTGGCTATTTGGGATTTTTATTACGCACTGCTTACGCTGGGATTTTAGAATCTATCAAAATAAACTAGCACATTTTCCTTTAACGGACCCTTTTCCTCGCATGTGTTTCGGTGTTTTCCCGTGACCCTGCACACAAATCCCCTAATACCACGGTTCTCTCACGGAAAGCGCCTGGGCTTCCCTATTTCCCAGTGCGACCGCGTTTTCGACCCTTGCCAAAAATTGGCATCAGGCAAGGCCATCGGAAAAAAATTGAAGTCTTGAATTTTCGCAAGTTAGTAACACCGACGTCAGCAAACGTAAGCGGTTGAAGAAGAGAATGGATAACTATTTTTAAGTCCGATCACAGTACTGTCGTTTTGCTAGCTGACAAAGTATATGCCCACGTCATCATGAATAAGAATAACTAGGCTGACCAGCGAACCAGATTTTCACTGAGCGGGAAGTCTACACCCCGTATGCTTAGAACCATACGAAAAAGCAAATAAGCTAGCTCCTCTGAAAATAATAACTACCGATGAACTCACCTTTGTGACTTCAAGCGACTACTGTATAGTTTATATGAATGGACTTCCAAAGATGCATTCAGATGTATTACCATGAAGTTGAGGTGGTTTAAAATTTCTCCTGTATTCTAAGTAGACTAACAGTCCATAGGATGTGCTAAAATTGGTCGTTTTTGTTATACGTAGCGCATAGTTTTAAGGGTAAAATGTGCTTAAGTTAAGCAAGTGGTCCATCGCCTCAGTCTTATCTAACCCTTACCCTATTTCTGGAAGATTTAGAAACTGACTATCTGTTTACTTGGGATAATAGTGAAAAAGTTACTACCGTAAGCTAAAAAAGGTGTAAGCATTTTCTGAGGCTTGCTATTCCAACATGAACGACGCTGACTATCATCCTGACATACACGCTCACTACGAAAGTCCGTGTTCATGACTCTCTGACCCTCTCAGCCCCCTCCGTAACGACAGCTGCGGACGTAAACTCGGCTATATGAAATCTTACTGAATCGCCATCTCAGACCCCCTGGCAACGTCAGCCACAATCGAAACTCCCAACGCCCGCTCACTTCCAGGACCCAGTTCGAATTTCTACCCAGCCGTCTCCCAATGGCATCTACCTGTTGGTATGAGCTCTGCGCGAATTAACAATCTATTGCGGTACTGACGCCTCTCTTGCTCTCCCTCTCCTTATTTTCATTTCACTTCGTCTGATGACCTGTTGGTGTGCCAGTACGAATATTATCGAAAGCAGCTAGGCAATTCCGAGTGTAGTTGTCTCTCTCCCCCGCACACATGAGAGTGCATAGTCTTTTTTTCCATCACAATTGACTTCTCACTGTCAGAGCGCAGATCCTTTTTTGATTCTCTTGTACGCACGTAAATTTTTCGGCGTTCTGCGCTTACCACAGAGGTACAGAAACCTGAGATATTTGCCGATTTCGCATTTTATACGATGTGAGATCCACTGAAAACAGCTCCTATTCGTATAAACTAATTCTGTGGAAACCATGTGTTGATTGTGGGAACATTGCCTTTGGTGGTACATCACACGACGACGGCCGAATTCACTGTAAAGATGACAAGCCATGCCCACCGTGTACATCCGACAACTCTCTCATCGTCGGGATTACCAACCTCTTCTCCACCAGCTCAGCCACCACCAAGCAGCTTCACCACTGCAACCGACTCAACAGATCTCAACCTATCCTGCCCTTGCTGTCGCCGCGCATGCGATTAACGCGTCAGCCTGGCTAACCGGTGTCAGGTGCACTGACATACGCCCGTAGCTATCGCCTCAACTGTCCGCACTGTCCACTCACATTCAATCATCGCCTTCATGCTAGTCTACGACAAACCACAGCAGGCCGAACTACGTCACACACTCAATCACTCCACGTGTCTCCGCAATGACACACACACCCCACACATGACCCATTCCGAGACCACATCGCAAGCGCGGAGCAGGGACCTCCTCCCCGTCGGTTGGAAGTGCGTTCGTCTGCTCCTTCAGCATGTGACCCCAATATACGATCTTGACAACACACCCCATTGTAAGAAATCCCGGTTTGCTGTGTGAGAAACAGGTCGTGGCATGCGCCGACGGATTGCCTTAGTGGTAAAAAGGCGAGCTCCAGGATGAAGTCGCGAAGTCGCGACATAACCATTGGAATGAGAGCTTTTCTCTTCTGACTTAGTTTCATTAGTTCTGTCAGTCACTACCTAAGTCTCAGCATAGGCTGACTGACCGACTCGGGCAATCAACAGCTGCATAGAACAGGAAAGAGGGAGAGAGGCCGACTCTGGGGGATTCATCCCCATGACACTTCAACACCTTTCACAATATAATAAATCTGAAGCGTTTGATTAAATCACGACACAGTGAACGTCGTGGCTTGAAAGGTGGCTAAATGACGGTACGTCACAGACCTCGCAGTCAATCCAGTGTGTGGAAGAGAATATGCGCATCCCAGGTTCTTGCTTAAAAGAAGACGAAGGCACGATCACTGGGACAGTAGGTCGTGCCTTCGTCTTCTTTTAATCCCGTGTGTGTTTATTTGGAGTGGCCGACCTGTGGACTGAGAGTCAGGCATAACAGCCTCCCCTTAACCGTGTCCCTATAGAACTCCTATGCGTGTGAGGTCCGAACTGCCCACCCCTATGTGCGAAATTCTCGTGTGTTGTGCGGAGAACCAGACCATGCGTAGCACGCGTATATGAACTGCCAAGCTCTATCAACCAGCGTGCCCAATCCCTACATCAGAGAGGTTTGGGCAGTAGACTGATACCTGGAAGAGACAAGAGACAGTGAGGTCGACTCTGGGGAGTCCCTCCCCACGACTCTCGGCACATGCTCCTTCCAATAAACCATCTGACGCGCTCTTAAAGTACCACGATTCCCTAAAAACCATGGCCTAAAAGCCTGACAACTGACGCGATAACTCAGCTCTCCTATTAGGATGGGAAGTCAGGCTGCAGTTGCTCCATTTTAATTTGGCCTCCATGACACTCCCACTCGTTTGGAATACGTGCTGCACACTCTTCTTGCCTGTGTGAAAACCCGGTACATCTTACTCGGAGCAGGCGTGTTTGGCACGCGTAGGCATATTGTTTACCTTAGTCAACATCTGCGCCCTCTCCCACCTCCGGTTTTCCTAACCCCCCCCCCCCCCTGACGCCGGGCTCAGATGGGTCAGAGAGGAGAGAGTGCGATAGCCACAGCACAATTGTACCTTGATTACAAGTAATTAACACTCAAATAACCACCCCTGTGCTCATCCTAATGTGGGTATATGTTGCACATAGTCGAAAACGACGGTCGAACTTCCAGATCACACTCATTGGGCGACAGCGATCGCTACAAAAAACAGTTCTGGCCATGGTCCATAATAACAATGATTTTATTGTGTGTCTTCCAGGTCACAATCACTGCATGAGCATGTCCACGGAATATTCTATGCAGGGGTGATACGCAAAATATAAATGTCAGGGAGTAAATAGCACAGCCACTTGGTAGAATTTTCCCAAGTGGAAAGCAAACTTTAAGTCAGAAATTCCTAAAGACTAAAAACACTTTCTACAAAAGTCCACATTACTTTGTGGAATATCTTAGTTTAAAATACTGCTGGTTAACATTAGATATGCCTGATTCGTGCGAATTATTAGAGAATAATGTCGCTCAGAGGAGGAGGAGGAGGAGGAGGAGGAGGAGGAGGAGGAGGAGGAGAATAAGCAGGAGAGGAGCTGGACCGTCTCCCGGCTGGATGTGTACGTGTTTCTAAGTTTGATCTTTATGTGGGCAACTCTTTCGTGTAAAGGACAAAACCTGGACTAATAACGAATTCGAACCACTACAGTCGTCTGTCATGCCTGGTCTGAAACAATCTTACGAGTGTGAGCTACCTCATTCAAGGCGAATTCGGCTTACTTTGGTGTCATCCCTTCGAATTCGATCCTGAATTGTAACTTTGTCGGGTTTTTCAAAACTTGTTAGTTCCTTTGGTGTGCAGGGCACATAGCGTTGAATGAAATCGTACAGGAGTTATGAGACATTAGAAGCTCGGAAATATCAAATCGGCCGTATAGTCATTCATGCGGCATTCGAGACAGTCGCACACCACTCGTCCTACAACGTCCCAGAGGATATCCCTATGAGAATTGCAGTAGCTTGTTTTGATTCGCACTACTGTGAAACTATCTAAGGAATAGGTTCAATGCTCACTCGCCGGCTTTATTCACTCCAGTGGTGCGTTTCGCAAATCCGCTCTCGCGGCGGAGGTCGAATCATTGCTTATCGCTTGTCAGAACTGCTTGCTGAATTTCATTACCGAGACTAAAAAATTGCACAAAAATTCATAAATTAATGCAGTCTCATGTAATCATCAGGAAAACGGATATGAATGAAGTAAAACGGACGGTGGACAAACAGTCTGATGGATACCCTGACCTAACAACAAGAGTTAGAATTCTAAAGCGAAATTTTGATCCTGTCATAAAGATAAGGACGGCAGTCATAAATGCACCACAACTCTCGAAGAATGAGACAAGATCGCTGGACCAGGAGCATTACTTGCTTGGTGCTTCAGATTCACACTCTAATCCATCATCACAGACAGCATCAAATAAGGGTAGTGAATTTTACAGGTTGTGGAATTAAGATATATTCGACGGGTACTTAAAGCGAATGGCTACCCGCGCAACTTTATAAACTAGTGCATGCTCAAGCAAGATGAGAGATCCAATCCAGTCAATCACACATTTTGGTGAGAGCTTCCGTAAGTCAAGAACGTCTCGGAAGCCGTCGGCCGCCTTCTCACACTCTTTGGATTTGGGATTGCACACAGACTGAAAGCAAGCATAAGGTGCCAAGCCATGAGGCCAAAAGACCCACCGCCACGGTAGAAAACGTCTGCAGTCGTTCATCTCATCTGGTCGGAGATTACTCCGAACGCAAATGATCGAGTATTCAGCGATGAGGAGGAGGGATACCGCTAGCCGTCAGGTCGCGGCTCATTCGACAGGACCCTGTTATGCCTTCAAATTTACGAGGACGATATTCTCGCAAGAGGTGACAACCGCGTGGGTCGCGGGCTGCTTGGGTCATGATTCTCCGGTCAGCAGTCTATTAACTGGCGCAATAACCCTCGCCCTTCATATTCTGCGCTGAAACTTTGTCTATGCAATGTGGTTATCCACTCGGGGAGCCCGCGGACGACCACTGCCCCCAGTATCAGTGTCAATGAGCCAAATGGCCCACGAAACTGCAGGAGTGATGGCATTTCGAGGATTAACGGCTCGACTGCAGACAAATAAGCAATTATTGAACGATTTGCGACCACCTCCGATGAATGCAGGAAGCGCCCCATTTTGTCTAGGACGCAAGGGCACAGCAACTGCATATTGCAACACCTGGGCAAGTAAACGATTATCACACTACCGGCAGCTATCTACGATGGATGCAAGGGCTGTCAATTTCGGTAAGCATGCAGTGGAGTAGCAACTGCATCGTGTAAATAGTGTTACATCTCTGCAGCTCACTACTCTTATCTGACTCGAGTGTAAGTCAGGAACGTCAGACGAATAAAGCACTTGTTTCAGCGATCGTGGCTCCTTATTCACGATTTCTTTCTGCGACCCGGCTCTCTACTTCAATCAACATCACAAGTTTATACTCTGGATGATAATAACAAGTGACTGAAAATCGCCAAACATCCCGACCAAGCACACGCGAGATGAAACAGAGCATCGTTTATCACAATATTGTACAAAACCAAAAGAAATAATAAATGACGGTAAGATATGGTTATGTAGTCCCACCTAATGGACGCAATACTGTTGGGGTAGGGGATAGGGGTTAGGGTCAGGGGTTAGGGCAACTATTTCTCAACCACTCAAAGTGCAACCGCGCATTCCCAATAGCTTTTCTTTTGCATACAGCTACTTGACCTCGTTGTCTGTGCGTTCCCCGGCCCCATCTGTAAAAACCTCTATTACCACCGGTCCTGTATTAAAGGTGGCTGGGGTTTGTTTACTTCAGTTGCGGCCACATAACCACATCTGACCTAAATGACTTCTCTAGAACCAACCGCAGATTCGACCGAGGTGAGGTCTCGAAGCTGTCAAATTGACCTTAGTACAACAAAACCGCGCATCCCCGTACGGTCAGCAGGGCTGGGGTCTACAGTAGCTACTCGCACGCAGCCAACGGAGGGTGATTGTCAGGTGTCCTGCAAGAAGTCCAAAAATGACTTCGATGGTGGCCCACGAAAGAGACAAAAGCACACCGTGTGACTGGCGAGCCAACTCAAATTTGAAATCGAGAAGTCCAAGAAAATAAACAAAGGCTGCTGCATTGGGTAGGAAAAGAAATTGGGACAATACCCGACTCGCATCCTCAACTGATCGGGATGCTGAGAGTGCAGGAACCAGATCTTCAGAAACAAGTTAAAGATACGGACGGGAAAATATTCATCGGTTATCTGAAAGGTACTCAATTCAACTACAGTCAAAACATTTTTTCAGTTTTCAAGGTTAGAATGAATCATGATCCTAGCCCATTACCAATAGACAGCGACGCGCCTACCTTTCTCAAAGGACATAGGAGATGATAGGCTCGACGAATGCCAGGTCTGAAATCTCAACCAAAATCCATAAAGTCATTTGACAAATCGGAACGGAAGCGTTCCGATTATTACAACAAAATCCATATGCACGGAGTGTGTGTGTCGAGGTTATTTTTCGTCAAACTACGGGCAGAAGGAAGGCACTAATGTGAGACAGCCGATACGGAAATGAAAGTACGAATGGGCAGGTGAGATGAAAACTTCAGAATGAGAGATTAAGGAAGTATTCACACCAAACGAGCAGTTCCTTGGGCGATGGTTCAATCAATATACATACAGTGGATTTCGACGCTTAAAACGCTAGTCACCTCTGGCCAGGAACCTGCAGTTCAAACTGTCAGAGTATCTAAGATGAACAAGATGAGTTTAAATAATTGTCTTTGAACAAAACCTCTTCCTAATTGCACTTATAGGAACCTGGTTAACTGTTGGAATAAAGGCTAGTGAAGCTAATGACGCTGCTTGCTCTGGCGGCCTGAACCGTTGGCTCTTTTTAGACAACCCGCAGAGCAACCGAACGGAGGGGAGGACAGCACCGGTCGCTGGACATAGCAGCTCTTAGCAGGACCCGATTCTCCGAACAGGAACAACTGGAGGAGCTAGATGCTGGTTCTGGAGCGAGCGTTCAAAAAACGGAGCCATGTATCACAGGAGTCGCCCTTGCGATACTGAACGACATCATGAGATGACTGCCTCAGGGCATCAGCGCCGTCTCATGACTCTGCATCTGCCTCTTTTGTGTTTACAAGTCGACAGAAAGAGGGTTTTCAAATCCAATATCGGAGAATCAGAGCTAGTGGAACAAAATTTACGGTGGCCGGCAAAGTACAGTCGGCTCAGAAGGCAGTGGCAGCAACTGTTTCAACAAGCCGAGTGCTAACCGTCGATGCTGTTAGCCCCTTCGCGAGGTGGGTGTGCCTGAGTCATGCCTGGGTGCGGCTACTCGTTGAAAATAAAAATATCTATCGGCGTCGAAATGTTGGCAACTCGGAAGCTGAGTCAGGGGCTGAATAAACCGAAAACTGGCAAGAGGGCTAAGTTTCTGTCACCACGCCGAGAAAACCGTCACACCTACGGCCCTCTCCCAGGTAGTAGTACCGAGAACGTGATCAACAAGTTCTACGAAGACTTGCATGTTCTTCTATTGACTGTGCCAAAGGAACTAACACCAATTATCGCGTCCACACTATCAGTGGACATTCAAGGCACGGCATGGCTCCTCTGGCATCTCCAGGCCCAATTCTATGGCAAGCCACCCCGTCGAGTCACGCATTGGACTAGTCGGTTACTTCCGAAACCGACACATTGAGGTCGGCGAATCAATGCTAAGATCGCCGGTGAGGCGGATGCAGAGCAAGCCTGGACCATTTTTAACAAACTCAGACATAAGTCATAGCTGTTGGGCCTAGCTCGTATGGGAACAGTGAAGGTCGCCGCTTGAGATGGTCGAAACTTATCTTTAATTTTAATCCGAAAATAGAAGTCTAAGTATTTATATCTTTTACTAGTACTTGTTTTGCCAGTTGCTCTTGTTTCCTTGCTGTTATTGTTAGTGCTGTGATATTTTTTGATAATTTTGGCACATTGACAGCGATAGTATTGTTAACTGATGTCCTCGCTCATACATGATTGGTCAGCAAATCAAAAGTAAAAGGTGTAGAATTCATTTGGGAGTCACGGGCTCCCGGATAGCCTGATATTTTTCTAAATAGAATATGTGGGGATATGAAACCCAAACTAAGTGTTGGAACGAATAGCAGAAATTTGAACAGAAAGCTTAACGGCGAGACAAGTGGCAGATGGTCAGATCATGTCGTCAAAAGAACGTGCAGCAGGAACGTTAAAAATTGAGCGAATGGACAGATGAGTAAACAAATCCGGACAGTGGAGAATTGATAAAAGTTATCAAATGGTCAAGGGGTATGAAGTGTGCTTTCGGAATGCGGGGCAACGAAGACTGCAGGCTTATCGGTTGTATGTTACCTAACTCTGTTTGAATATACCTCGATGGACGACCCCGACGTCTACAGGGAATCAAGAGGCTTCTGAAATAGTCCATGCTAGATGGGACGACTTCCCCGCATAGCCGGTTCACGGGGTTAAGGACATGTTATAAAAGACTTGCCTGTAAAACTCCTGTATTCACTGGAAACCTGGATAGCCCTCCCGAGTGCCCTCAAACACTGAACTACGGTAAATAAACAAATCTTACTCCTCATAGTCTACCCTGTTGACCAGCTAAGTCCGTGCGCGGCCGCTCTTTTCGGGCTTATCTAGTCCTTTCTCTGCACTTAGACTGCAGATATAGCAGGAAAACTCAGTTGCGTGCTTCTGAGCACTTTTCCAAAATTGTCACGTTGATCACGGGCTACGAAAATCATGTCGCTGAGCAGTGTTCGGGGCGTAGCCAAACAAATATGACATATACCATGCAAATGTTCGCATGAAGATGTGGCGGATATGTCACCAAGTAGGGGAAAGTTCTCTACATGCATTGGCAGCATCCCGCTTCGGTGGTATCGGACTGGCAGAAGTAGGGATCCCCTAATCCGCATCTTCGGCACCGTATGTTGCGCGTCAGTGCACTTTTAAGTCTAACCCTTGACTATTTACGAGGAACTGAGATTGTTGCCTATCTACTAAACAAGATTTTTCTGAGTAGACGAGTAGCCACATAACTAGGCTTCAACTTAAATGACGCTTGCCAAAATCGAGGTTTGGCAGATGATTGATGTAGATGAAAAATTGTAACGCTTGATGCACAGACCTTAGAAGGACACTGATATTTGCCGGCATGTTGGGTGACATGTCTTCCTTGACGCGCACGCAGAGGGTCCAGTTGGACAGACAGATTTTAATTAATTTCAGTTGGTATCAGTCAGTATATTCGGAGTTCCTTGCACACCAGTGAGGAGTAGGGAGTTTCCCGTGTTGTAGGCCTTGCCAAGGTCTTGATATATAGGCCTAATTTCCGAGTCTGAGAGACCTAAGGGCTTCTTTCAGGGTCTCAGCGAACAAAACCTTCACTTTCCCTTTTCCAGAATACTGCTAGCCTTCGTAGCTCGCTCACTATACTGAGGCTAACATATGATTATTGCATCATAGTTTCCAATGATTACACATAAAACTCTGGTCGCTTCAGACAACGAAGAACCCAGAATTCCCGTTCTTTCGTCATATGCTTGGAGGCCCTGCTGCCGAAACGATTGGCATCTGCCTGTCAATAGACAATCATCTCTGCCGACGGCTGACTGTTGCCTTGTGCTATAGGGCCTCTGCAAATCGCTTCTTCTCGTGGCTGCCGCTCAATTTCTGGGTTTTATTTCATTCATTTGGTTTTTATTTTCGACAAATGCACTTTTTTCTGTATGAAATGAAAAATACAACAATCATGTAATTCCCTAAAATAGTTCAGAAGACGATGATTGAACCGACCTGCTACTTCATCCTTATTTTTGAATTTCATTTCTCATCTACCTAACACTATTCCTTCCAGTACTAATCAACAAAGGCATATGACGTTTTTTGAAATTGAATTTTGAAAATTCTTTGGCGTTGACCCTTCTTTTGTGAGACGTGCTGTTGACCCCAGGTTGTTCGCGCGTAGCGGCCACGCCCAAGTAACCACCTCGACCAGTGGGCTAAACCAGATGACGATATCCGGAGATTGGGCGTGTGGGTTTTGTGTATGTCTCAGATCCGGTTGTTCTGTCTCCTGTCCCACTCTAAACCAAAACTAAAAAATCATATGGAGTGAGTGACAGCGACCTCTGGGCGGTCCAGACTAACTCGGGCTATTTTCCCACTAAAAACAGCTGTGGCCCGTAGTGGAATTCAGCAGCCGCCTAGGATGAGCGATCAACCCCATTTAGGGGTAGCACCATTTACCTCCTCTGGGGTGTGAGGGGCTAGGACAGGTGACCTAAGTAGATTCTGGATAATCACGTCGTGTGCGAGCTGGCAGTGCCTCGCAGACTCAAACTAGCAGTCAAACCACAACGGGGAACCAAACCTCCCTCCCAATCCTCCGTTCCACCCTCAGGCTGCTAGTTTGACTCTACTCACTATAGCAGCCCGGAATGTTCGTTCTTTTCTAGGTAACTCACCAAGCAATCGAGCGGAAACGGAGACAACGCTGGTTGCCAGAGAACTGGTGCACTACAACACGGATATTGCAGTTCCCAATGAGACACGATTCTCTGAACAGATTAAGTTGGAGAAGGTGGATGCCAGTTGCACCTTCTGCTGGAGCGACAGCTCAAAGGCAGAGCTACATGACGCTGGCGTTATCTTTGCAATTCCTAACAACATCGTGGGACGACTAACCACTCTGCCACAGGGCCTCAACGACCGCTCCTGAATACTGCGCCTGCCTATACGAGGGGCCCAGGTTGTCACCTCAATGACCAACTCTGAAGAGGTGAAGAAAAAGATCTAAGGTGAACTACGCGCCCCCCTAGCGACCGTAGCGATGGCGGACAAGCTGATTGTCCCTGCGAACGGCCAGATCGCAGTTGGTAGCCAGGCCCCGTATTACAGGCGGCGGGGGGGGGGGTTGTTTACTGGGGCTATTTTTTGGGGTTCCATAATCACATCTGATCCATTTGGCTTCCGTTTTACGTTTGCGGTTATAATTAGGGTACCGGTTAATGGTTTCCGATTTTCGGGTTAGGGTTATGCCTTCAGGCTTAGGTTTTCAGGTTACGGTTAAGGTTTGAGCGTACGGTTAGGGTTCAGTATTACGGTTAGGTTTTTCAGTTACGGCTATGTCTAAGGGCTACGGTTACGTTTACGATTTCGGTTAGGGTTAGGGTTTCCGTTAGGGTTAACGGTTAACTTTTAAGTTTGAGGTTGGGGCTAGGGTTACGGTTAGGATTAGGGTTAAGTTCGCCGTCTGCTTCCCCATTCCTGGCTACCAACTGCGATCTAGCCCCCGCTTCGTCACAGACCCTGCTACTGGGGAGGAAATAGTGGGACTTGAAAGAATCGAGACCTGCAGCAACAGCCTTCTTCTACAGTTTGTGCTGAACGCAATCTGCTCATGACCAACGTGAGTGTACCACGCTGGTGCAGCCGGCAGCTGCTGGACTACGTCCTCGCCCGAAGGCGAGACCGTCACGGTGTGCTAGTGACAGAGATGACCTGCGATTTCGACGGCCGGACGGACAGCCGTCTTGTCATCTTCAAAATGAGACTGCGCATTCAATCATCAGGCGACCACAAGGTAGGCGACTGTCAGGATGCGATAGTCGACAACTCGAAGGGTCCTAAATTAGAAGCTAGGAATGACCGAGTTGTCGGGCAACCTTTTCTGAGGTGAGAGACGTACGCACAGGTCAGCAAACAGTTGCGACAAGCGTTTCCCTCAGCCGAAAGTTGTTGAGGGGTGCCTGAGTACCCCTGGGATTTATCCGCCCTCAAACAATCATCGAGGGATGCAGGTCCGATAGTCGTCAAGCTTTCACCACAACGGTGAAGGGCACGTGCGGCTGGAGGAGTGAAGTGGCAGGCAACGTGGGGCGGACCGAAAGACGACATGAGTAATCGGCCGCGCTGACAACCACAAGGCCAAACTGTTCCTGCACGCACAGACAAGACGAAAGGCGACGTGTACTGGCGTCGGATCAATTGTTTCTTATCTAAACAACACGAGTAACTACGTAATTGGAAACTTGAACGTGACGTCCACTGGAAGGAGGAGTGTGAGTGTGCGTTGCGGCTGGAGAATTGAAGGGTGCGCCGTCCCGACGCACCGAGAGCAGTCACACGCACTCACAGCGCTTACAATCTAACCGGACCCCCTCTACTTCCCCCCCCCCTCCCACCCCAACTCCACCGTCCTCAACACGCTGACTCCGTCATGCGGGCGGCGTGGGTGCATGGAGTCCGATTAACCCTGCTCCCGAGACGCATTTATATCCTGTCGACAAGTAGACTGATCATTACCCATGTAAATGTACCGGCCTGATGATGAATTACCGAAAAATATGTTCGCCAACTGACTCTCCAAGGTGAGAAGGTAATTGCAGTTGGTGGCAGCGGCGACGAAAGGAGTATAGTTGGACACGGTGGACGGACAGAGGGCGGGGGGTGGGATGGGGAAACAGGAGGTAGGGAAACACAGGGTTCATTCGGGATAGCAACTTTGAGGCGGTTCGCATCCATGACCTCTTTATGAGTTCCGCTTTGAATGCGGAATGTCGTCCCCCTCGAAACAACCCGGAACGTTCCGTCGTACGGTGGCTGTAGTGACCGAGAAATTCGATCACATCGCAGGTAGACGTGAAAGCATGCAACCAAGTCCTCCGAAAAAGGCTCACAGATCGTTGGCTTGGACGTAAATGGGCAGGCTTTCCACATGAATTATTGTAGACGGTGCTGGAGGTTTGTGAGCTACTCGACCGCATCGTGAGGAGCTGGTGAGTTCATTTGACCTGGCAGTCGGATAGTGGTGCCGAACACCAATTCAGTGTTGGGACACGCAAGGTCGAATTTTATGGTCGAGCGAATGCCAAATAGGACCAGGGAACGATAATCCGTCCAGTTCTCCCTATCCGCTGCGGTGCGTAGGGAGTTCTTCAGCTGGTGGTGAAACCACTTGACCATAATATTGACTGCTGGATGAAAGGCCGTCGCCCGATTGTGTGCAGCCAAGGGAGGTGAGGTCGGACTCGAGCTGGGGGCCTCGGTTAGTTGGAACTGTTGATGGGCACAAGAAATGGCGACCCAACGACTGACGAAAGCCTTAAAGATGGTACCTGCATCCGCATTCGGCAGAGGAATTGTTTCAGCGCAGCTGGCGTATGGACCGATGCAGGTAGGGAGATGAGTGTAGCCATTGGATGGAGGTAAGAGGCCTAGGACATTCAGATGAACGTGACCGGACCGTGCGTCAAGGCGAGGGAAATTGTCTGGTGATGACAAGTCATGATGCCGCACTCTGTTCTGCTTGAAACTCAAACACGATCGTGCCTATACTTTGCCTTCCTTGTTCATGCCAGGTCAGACAAACCTTTTCTTTAGGAGCTTTTTGGGGAGGGACATGGGACCACTGGGCGGAAGACTACATGAAGAGATTGAAAAACAGCTCGATGCATTGAGGCAGCATGAGGGAGCAATGAGAAGGACTGGAGGACAAACAGAGGATTTTGCCAACACCGGTGGACAAAGGAATTTCCATGAGCTGGCCTACACTAATTGACTCATCAACAGGACAACCGACCCGTCGTTGTTCACCCCCCTTGGCAATAAGATCGACCCCAAGTGGGAGCTGCAGTGCAGAGAAGGAAGACCGACTGATATACAGTCCAGGCGGGCTATCTCAGTGGGGCTATATTTGTTTGAGTGGGGTCGAAGGGCGAACGTCAACGGTTTGTGGTTTTTGAAAATAGTGAAGTTATAGATGCCCGCCCTCACGGCTGTCAGCGCGGCCGCTTCCCCATGCCTCTTCGGTTGGTCTAACGGGCCCGTGAAGCATTGCGTGCACGCGTGAATCACCCTTCAGCTTGCCGACGCCGTAAGGCCGAAGTATAATTTCGTCTACATCGATTTGTCACTGCCGCAAAAGCTCAGGCGCATACTTACGCTTTGCCTCCGGGCAGGCAACTCAAACGATTGACAATGCTGGTGAGAACAATTGTTGCCACTGGCTGACGTACTGCGTGTAAGCTTTTCTGTCGTAGCAAAGTTTGTCCAACGTGTTCTGTCTCCCTAATTTCTGACTTGAGAACCTTCGAGTTGTCTACCATCTCAATTCGGCAAGCGATGATCCCTTCCAACTCCACAATGTAGTCAGGTGTTGGCAATGGACAACTTTCCACCAGCTATATAGCATATTCTGCACCCGTTCCTGACAGTCTTTCGACCCCGTTGGTGGAAATGCACGGTTTCGACAAGTTCTCCCCTGCCTCACTTTCAACTATATCGGCTTCTCTCACGTTCCTTCTTTCGAACTTGAGGTCAAAGATGGCTAATCTTGCATAAGAGTTAGTTACCTTGGAATGGGCCGGAATCCTCAGCATCCACGTCACATTAAGGCAAACCCAACTATGAGTGAGCGGTCACGTCGTGGGGATGGACGACGAGCGACTACTCAGGCGAATGTTTTACGGCGACATCGTCACGGGTGATCGTTGACAGGGTGAGTTGAAACGAAGTGGGAACGACGCTCTGGATATTTCCCTTTGTAATCTACAAAGTGGTCTGGGGACCTGTGAGGACCTCCCACAAAACTGATTAGCCCCGAAAACAACAGTGAAGACTGGAACAACTGTATACGAAACCAACCGGATCGCCGCTGCCAAAATCAAAGCAAAGGCTCTCGAGTCTCACATTTCGCAGACCAACAATTCCATCAATCAAAACCTCCCATCATGTCCACGATGCCAGCGGACATTTAGCGCGCTGATCGACCTCGTCGGACCCAATGCACTATCAGCGGGGCACTCCCTTTTCCCGTTCCGAAAATCGTCTCAGCCTCCATCACCACTACCGATAACCCCACGACGTCAACAACCAACACTACTGGCGAGCAAACTCCCGATGCTTCGCCGCCCATTGCCACTTCCGGACAGTTCGAACGTCATCACCGACGATGTCCACCTTGTGCCCAACAGGATGGTAACCTGCGCCTGAATTAGTTTATAGCGATAGTAAACTTTCGCTGCATCTACCGCACCCTCACTCCCCCACCCACCTGAGCCCGGTGCCAAGGGAGAGTCAATAAAACCGTCGACGGGAGAGGCCGCAGGTGGCTGACACGGCGAGAACACGCACATAGGCGTGCCATCACGCCCCCGGTTCACAACGAACACTTGACCAGGATTTTTACATCAAGAAAAATGAGGGGGGCAGTAGGGATCTCATTTGCCGTCCCGTCAGTCTGCACCGGGCCTGCCACCAAATCCCCACTGGTGGCCTTTGTTATCATATGTGCTCATTCCCGATAACGCCTGCCAGACCCCTATCTAACCCCTGTGTCGGTCCAGCGCATTTACCGCGTGACCCGCTTTGGGCGTCGTGCCCTCCGAGACTGGCGATTCGGTGTCAGGAGCATCGACATACAATCGTCGCACCCACCTCAACTTCACACGGCCCTCGGACATCCAGTTACTGCATGGGCTTATTCGGCTTTATGGACCTCTGTTGAAATCTGCGGTAGAACACAGCAGTCCAAACCCCACCACCACACATGTCCCCTTAGCTCGCACGCCCCTAGACCAGAAATAAGCACACCCCACATCACCCACCACCTGCTCAGAACATTCACCTCGCAAGCAAGTGGGCAACATGTTCAACGCATACCCTCGTGCGTGGCTTGGTCACTGGATCCTGTATGGCACACGTGAACAGATGTATTAGCTCTGTCAGCCACTGCGTCCAATAGAAGCACTGGATGACTAGCAAAATCGAGCAGTCCACTGTTATCGTCAGTTTGAGCGCATGATCTGCTACTCTTCAGTAAATTCCAGACAGTGCCTGCCTTCAAAAATGCTTCGGCTACCTCCCAAACTGAAGCATAGGTAATTTACCTCCTGTTCAAATGTCTGGATGCAGATTTCTGCGCCACCTCACCAGATTTTCGATCACATTCTACCTAATCAACTATAATGTTGATCCTCCCCCAGCTAATAATTTTACCACATTGATCCCGCCCCTTTTTATTGTTACATGTGTGCTGTTGTTCGGCTGCATTTCGGTAAGCTAAGCTACTGTTACCCACCCCCCTCCCTCCCCCCAGGCGCTGACCGAATGCATTGGCCTCATCACGAAAACTGTTCCCTTATCGATCCATGTTGCCTTATTGTGGTCGCCATATGAACCAAGGCTGACAACCCGGCCACTGAGCTGGCATTTTGTGCGATGACAGGACCGCACACACGCAGAGGTGCTCACATGAGGGGCTGGTCCGTGTTTTTCGTTTATGGTTCGGGGGCTTACGGACCCGCTGGAAAGCAGTGATCACTGGCGTTAGCGACCGGTGCTTGTGAAAGGCTGATTTGTGCACGCTCATTGTGACTTTCTATTCATGAATGCCTGTGGTAGGTTTATGGACGTCTCCTCGCACGGACTCATGGCAGATAATGCTCATGCGATGTCGAACAAACCTTTTATCCTATATGGTAAGGTTCTACAATCCTGCGTTCAAAAAATAGACATTATTTGACTTTCGTCAAATTATCATACTTAAGTAACAGTAACGTTTTTCCAGTGTCGACAGCGGACACCTCCGATCTTGCCGTTTTCTCATCTATCCAACTCGAAATGAGCATGCTCATTTAAAATAAAACAGAATTGGGTGGGAATGATGAAACCCTATCAAGCCATCGAAAAACAATCGGCCTATTTTTAAGTCAATTTTACTGTCCAGGTTTGCCGCTCCAGTTGAAATCAGCATGGCTCAAAACTTGCAGTCTTTTAAGACTTGGCCGTCAGTGGTGGTTGGCAAGATGTGCTCGGCGTAGTTTGCTGTTACCACTAATTTGGCCTACAATATTGTAACGCAAAATCAACCTCTAGGTACAATGACCAGCATCCTCAAGACTTTATTCAGTTGCTCAATGCATTAATCCCAAATAAGGCACTTCAGGAGAATGATTATTTACTTTTCTTCGATGTAATATCCATCGTCGATGTAACTCGATCTCTTCGGAATTGTCACATTACAGTTCTTAATTTTCTGTCAATCACGGAAATATTGGTTTCTTTGCAAAATCTCAGACCATTCTCAATGGTAGGGGGCGCTCACCGATCGTTCATACGAACTCACTCGTTCCGTTGGGCCTTAAGGGCTCTCTCTCGAGCCCAACCAGCAGCCGCACAGCGGCGCATGATATATAGGCAGAATGGTATTACCGACAAAGACAAGGGAGACTGGAATGGCCATTTCTGGCTTATTAGCCGTCGTCAGCCAGCCATACCCAAGCCCGAAGTGTGGAACACCCGAGCCTCGAACTCGCGACCTGTTGGTTTAGAAGTCCACGCCTCTACCCACCGGGCCACGAGCCCGCTGCCTTGTCGGTTTTCGATTGGGAATATACAATGGTAGGGGGGCGCTCACCGATCGTTCATACGGAACTCACTTGTTCCGTTGTGCCTTAAGGGCTCTATCTCCAGCACAACCAGCAGTCGCATAGCGGCGCATGATATATAAGCAGAATGGGATATATCATATATGTATATATCATGCGCCACTGTGCGGCTGCTGGTTGGGCTCGAGAGAGAGCCCTTAAGGCACAACGGATCGAGTGAGTTCCGTATGAACGATCGGTGAGCGCCCCCTAACATTGTATATTCCCGATCGAAAACCGACAGGGCAACGTGCTCGTGGCCCGGTGGGTAGAGGCGTGGACTTCTAAACCAACAGGTCGCGAGTTCGAGGCTCGGGTGTTCCACACTTCGGGCTTGGGTATGGCTGGCTGACGACGGCTAATAAGCCAGAAATGGCCATTCCAGTCTCCCTTGTCTTTGTCGGTAATACCATTCTGCCTAGACCCTTCTCATTTATGCGCCTGGGAAACGTGGCGTTCGAAGTTATTTTAAGTACTAATTACGAAACAAATGTGAGTGCTAACTTCGACAGGAGGTACTTTACACCAATCTGGATTCGTTTGTCTCCGAAAGCGTTTGCCTTATGCAGTCACTGTCACCAAGTTTCTTGCTTAAATTGCTTTGAGCGTCAAATTCTGATATGTCGGCGGAGATTCGACCAATTTTTTTAGTGAATAAGTGTTTTCGCTTGAAAACACCAAGAAACGCCCCATCCTACCGGAGATGGCCTACTGAATTCAAGAGGGGCGCCTATTCCCGTGCAGTAAGTTTAACCCTCGCACTAACCCTCACAGTGACAATAATAAACCTAACCATAACCCTTATACTAATTATCCTTACCCAGCTATAACTGTGACTCCCCCTGGAATTTAGGGCAAGGCCATCTGTAACGCTGGGGCGTAAATATTTCTGTTAACACCAATCCCAGCCCCCACCTGCTAATTTATCGCAAGGCCATCTGTAATACGGCGCGGGGCACGTGCTATGCCCTAATTTATTTTCTGGTACAGGTTGTGACAACACAACATCTTCAAATCAGAAGACTGGTGTTCGCATTTCCACAATCTGTATTACAAAATAAGTGCTATTTAGGAAAACCATGTGCTATTTCAAGTTTAAAACCTTTTTTCATAATGGGATAAAAATATATTTCTGTTAGGTTATGCCAAAAAATTACATCTGAATTGCATAATGGGCTTGTTTTGTGGCGCTACTCGGAACTAGCCATGCGCTCTCGAAATTTTTTCTTCAAAGGAGCGAAAAAAAGTCAAAAGCTTTAACTGTCCCAAGTTCGCGTCTTTAGGGGGTCAGTAAGGCCTCAATTAGCCTCTCAACGGGTCACCAAGTTCTAAGGACCGTAATTAAAGTTCATAATTAAGGTTTTGGACGGGTTTTGCTCGTCAAGCGTCCTAAAAATTTTCGCTCTGCAGGAACCAGGACACTTATAATTTGCTATCGACGAAGAACTTAGTTTCCCCCGACCACAGCTAGCAGAATGAAGGGGCCTGAGTAGTGCAGTTCGGCAGTTTCGAACGGCTGGTGCATTTTTCTTTTCCTTCCATGTTGCTAAAACTCATTGTTTTATACAAAATGTTAGTGAGTGTTGTTGTAAACCGCTATTCGTAGCCATCTTCACACTGAAATCGCCATTGAAATTATGTTTACGTCGAACGTCCACTGAAAGAATGCCTAAAAACACGGAAGTATGCCATCTGTCATGCGCACAAAAATATTAAAACCATAAGAGTTGTATGAGCAGCATAAGTATGACTCAGGTGATGACCGGTTTTGAGAAAGCTTGAAGTTTGCAGTTTAGAAGAAGGCTTGAACTTTCGAATGGCTAAACATTGCTTGCACACTATCTACTTTATAAGCATTTCATTTGTTCGGAACTGAACATAAACCAAACGATAGTAGAGACGGGAGTTTATAAAAAATCTGAATGAAACCTGATCTTCCTCGACGCGGTGAGCCCATATTCTTCTTTAAATCATCAACCCGGATCTCTCAACTTTGTCAATCTGAACACAAGAATAGAACGTACCGGAAGCCGTATTGGCAACAATGCAAGTGATATTTTAGAAATAAGGTAGGAAATCACGGTAAAAAGGCTCATGAGAAAACACCCACAAAATCAAAGACGCGTGAGTAAATTTCTTGGGATCGGTGCGGACATGTGACGTTTCCCTGCCTGGCCTGGTGCAGGATGGGTGTTCCTGTACTTTCTCCATAATTAATGATTTGTATGAAAGAGGCGGAAAGCGGAGACGCCGATCTGACGTAGAGTTTCTAACTGCATCCCAAGTCAGTGGCCAATCTCATGAAGTGTGAACCGAGATCCTGCAGTGTGCTTTCGATTAGGACGGGTTACTTAGGTGAGATCGTAATATTGATCGTCGAGTAGCATAATCCTAAGATATTTAATTCATGCCAGAATACCGTTTTTTAGACCCGTTTCTTACCGACAGCCCGCGAAAACATCACTCGGTAAAAGGAAGTACCTAATTAGTATACATTTTCATTGATAAGGGTGGCTATTTGGATAAAAAGGAAGTCGTCTTTAAGATTCCATGCAACATCTATGATGCAATATATTGTGGTCGAACTGGAAACTCCATCTCTACACGCCTACATGAACGCCATTTGGCACTAAGGCGGCTGAACCACTTATTCCAAGTCACTATGCATACGCTAGAAACCGGGCACAAATTTGCTTGGGATAAAAGACGGATTGCCACTTCCTCCCTATATAAGAAAGGCCGGCAATTTATGGAGGCCGATTGCTCTGATGAATCGCGCATCAATTGGCACATCGATTTGAGCGCCATGCGTACAGATCTCAAAGAAAAACGGAAATATGGTAACCAGTAGAAACGTGATGTCAGCCCAAATCATCGACCTATGGACAGCACTGACAAATCGATATCTTTTTTCATGTATGCTTGAATTTTAACTGTTTTTCACGTTTTCTACGCGTCTGACAACGACCTGGGGAACCAGCGTCGAAAATTTACGAAATTAAGTTTGCTTAATTTTCCAAAGGACTCATTTCAGACTCATGCAGAATGACATTACCGACAAAGACTGGGAAACTGGAATGACCACTTCTGGCTTATTAGCCGTCACCAGCCAGTCATACCCGTCCCTGAGGTGTGCAACACCTGGGGCTCGATCCCACGACCTGTTGGTTGGGGGTTCAATGCTCTAACCGCTGGTCAACGGGCTCGTTATCCTATCAGTTGCGATCGGGAATACACAAAGGTAGAGGGACGCTCACAGATCGTTTTTACGGAACTCACTCATCCCGTTGTGCCTTAGGCTCTCTCTTGAACCAAACCAGCAGCCGCACAGCGGCGCTGTTTGGGTTGGTTATAAGTCGAAAGCCACGTTTGTGATTATGTACGCATGCAAGCATGCGTTTAGCCCTTCTTCTTACACAATTTGTCTTTTTTGCATGGTGGCTAATCTCTCCGAAGCATAGGCTATAGAAAACTTCCAGTCCATAAGTGCATGCGACTTAAACCACTCAGAGAATTTGCCCAGTACGTTAATGTGCCATACCGCAAGCGAAGAACTGAGTCATTAGCTTACCTATCTGAGTGGGTGTCATAACTCCTTCTTCTTCTTCTTCTTCTTCTTCTTCTTCTTCTTTTTTTTTTCTTCTTCTTCTTCTTCTTCTTCTTCTTCTTCTTCTCAGAATGCACACTTATTATGACTGTATTCGCCCTAGGTTCTTTTCACTGATGTTTATAGATACAGTCCAATATGGCCTTCGGTTCTTCCGAAATTTTACTTTTTTCAGGTATTGTCGTCGCGGCCAACTTTCATGTGGATTGGTAGCCTCAGACTGTATGCCCTCAGTTACTTAGGAAGGAATTTTTTTCTAGACCAATGCTATTTTCTACAAACTTATTTCTGAAAATCCTACATTATTCAGATTAAGGACTGTGAAAAAAACTTTGCATGGAATAATTTCCTCGGATAGAAAAAGCCTAACTGTCAGATGAATACAAGCAAAAATTCTAATAATTTTTACAGATTTTTTTTAACTATTCTGCCTGAGGTCTAATAGAAGGTCTGAAATCCGAGGTCTCAACAGACAAAACCTGGAATAAGCAGAAACTCGCGAACCCCGGAAGACGTCAGACAGAAACTCAGTGTAAAGTGCTCATTAATTTGCTTAAGGTAACAAACTTTGCGAACGAGGAACCATGTGAGACTGCGAATCTCAGTTAACCGACAGCATTTCCGCATTAAGGGTTTGCGACGAGGAATACACGATCGCTGGGCTCACTGTAGAACTCATCGGAGTCTTCAGTGGACAAGGGCAGCGAACTCACAGGCACTGCAGTATGCACAGGGTTCAAGGCTACGCAACCATTCGCCTAATAAAGTAGCAGCCCCGCATCCAAATAGGCGTTCACAAATGGTGTGGCAAGGGCTTGGTCGGGGGCATTCGAGTCCCTATTGCTCGCGACTTCCCACTATTGTTGATTACGGGCGTAGTGACAACTCGAAAATTTATTCCGCCATGACATCTACTGGGAGCAGTGTTCAGTCGTGCGCTGCTGCGTGATTACTTCCTCTACCAAAGGAAGGCCATAGCCCTGGATGGAAAGGAGGGGTGTCATTGCGTTCATTGATAGACTGCAGTAGGTGCAAGATGGTCTATCTTCGAATCTTACCCTCCCCCCCCCAGGGCTCTGTTGTTAGCATGTAAGACTCATGCAAAAATCAATTTTGGCATAATCAACGTAGTACGAAACGAACGAAAAGTGTAAATTAATTTAACGGAAGAAAAGTTCACTCCTTAAACACAAAATGGTATTTTTACGATCACGCCTGTCAGTTCTGTTTAAATTTACTAGACACCAACCGGCCTCGTGGCATGTCCTTTCATGAAAAATTTTGTTCCTACGACGTCCCCACCGGTGAAATCAAGCGAAATCCCATTTCTTTTGTTGAACCCCATCTCATTTAACTCAAAAGAGTCAAGGATAGCACGAAACGTTATCTATGTCTACTTTTATATTTACTACGTTTTGGTTTGAAAATACATTCTATACATATAAAAACGAAGTTTACTAAATTAGAGCCATTTCTGATGTTTTCGGGATATTGCGCTTTTCAAGATAAATCGGCGTTTCTAAACAACGCAACACCGCTTTTAATATTTCTTTCATGTTTTTAATTCTTTTAATTTGCACTTAGTTAACATAGACATTGGACTCATTAAATGATGTCGGTTTGCGAGTGATTGGCAATCGTTCGTAAGTTTCGACACATTTCATGAGTCAGGTCATTAACCGTATATGAGTAACTGAGACCCTTCTGACAACTTGATATGATCCTATCTTCACACTCAGTGACTTGTGCATGCATGCGCGCTGTCAGCAGCAAATCCAAGTACCTCCGTTGAGTTCATTTGGGCGTTTGATGTGAAATAGCAGTCGCTTCGGAACGGCCAGCTTTAGGCCAAAATGGATTGGCTGTCGTGTGAGAACCCATCGAGCACCAAAATCCGGAGACGTTTACTTGGTAAGGTTACATAGCCTATCTTTGCGCGTCAGGTAACCTTTAGAACCAGAAAGGAGATGAGACGATAACAGAGAAAACGGTTTTATTTACAGGGGAATTTTGAGCAGAACTCTAAAGAAAGGTAGTTGGGCTGTTGGTCGCTTAATGGGTACGGAATTTCATAATAGCTTCCAGATCGCCACGTCTTATCGCATGGTGGCCATTTGAATTCGATGATTTAAAGATGATGAAGGTTACTGGTGGTAGATGACAACCGAGGGAAAAACGCCTAGGTTTTTTAAATAAAGATTAAAACCCAGTTTCTCAATAAGGGAGCCTCCTGGTCGAATGGATTTGAATGGTCACTCTTACGGTGACCGAAATTCAGGTAAGGGCGGGACGAGTAGCTGGTGTTGAAACTACTTGGGGTGGAAGCACGAAAGCATATAAAAGACTTGAATTACACGACCAAGCAAAATCGATAGTCTGCTTTCTTAACATCCAGGTTCGATCAACCGTATCTTAATAATAAGAATATCTCCTTATTCTAAAGAAAGAAAACAAGAACAAGAATTTTTGGTGTGTGACAGACCGTGGTTTGCCTTTCTGCATTGCAGGATGTCCAACTTACCGCACTTCATAGCGAAGTTGCATATTTTCGTGCCTGTTTCTAACTAGCTTCAGGATTAAGCATAGGAATAAATATCTTGCTGCCTGCGGAAATGGAGAAACCAATCGATCGGGAAAAGGATTTTTCGAGCTTCATGGCGGAAAAATACGTGCATTGGATTCTGCTAAATATCTTGATTATACTTTCTTATAATTTTCAAGACAGCCATCCTTAACATGCGTCAAGTCCCATGGAATACCAGAGTAAACCTTCGAACACACTTTCAACCAGTGAAGACAATTTAGGTTGAATTCTAATGCAGACAAACGGGGAAACTGCTTAAAGCTGATTCATGCATGCTAGCATGCTGATACTTGGTTAAGAATCTTTTCAGTTACCTTTGCAAACTACACTAGGAAAAACCCTTGCACTACTTTTCGAGACCTACGCAGGTTCAATATGACTTTAGAAGAGTGTTTCGAAAACTTTTTATGCTAATTTTAAATGTTAGAATGAAAGGGTGTGATTTTTTATTAAGGAAATGCATCATTATAGGAATTGTGGAAGGTTCTCAGGAATAATCTTGTAGCCTAATACCCGCAAGTCTAGAAGTGGAAACTTCATGCGTCACTTTCGTGGTACAGAGTTTCATTTTTATTATCGTCGAAGGTCAGTAGGAATAATGAACACTATACTAATAGTTATTTCTCCCTTGTCTGCTAGTTACACAGGTGACTTAAATGATATTCGTCAATATTTCACGCCAGTCAACAATATAACCGCATCGGAATTGTGTATTCCACTTTAAAACTGGTTTAATAGTTTCAGGAATTATTTCCTGAGTTTTAGCCAATGTGGTAAACTGGATTTCTGATGCCTGTAAATTCGATGCAGGTGAGTTTACAAATGTCAATTTTTTACTCCGTTAAAAGTATTCGTCTTATGATAAAAATTCATCGTTTTTGTCACTAGTCAAAATTCAGACACAAAATCGAATTATCCATCCAGTAAAATAAGAGACAATGACTAACAATGGAGGAGGTGGAAAACAAATAAGGGACCGACTGGAAGTTCCACGAGCACTCCAGCCCAATTTTGAGTTTTTCTAAAAATTTTAGCGATGTTCTTTTGGTGCTTGTGCTTGAAAATTAAGCAAAGCATCTTTGAAATAACGTTCAGGAGTATGCTTAAAGTTGATTTGTGTGATTTTTCGGGAAAGTAATTTGCACTTAATCCTCCCATCTGTCGACGTATTCGTTTGTTCGTTCTATGAGTTGCCACCGATTGTTAGTTGTTATCTTGGGTAGTCGCGTACTACTCAAGACATATAAACTCACAATAGCGTAACGCCTTCCAATTTTTCGTTAGTCTTTGGAGAAGAAAAAATGATGGTTGGGAGTCTACAATTTATCGATTTCGAAAAAATAATGGGAAAACCGCATAAAATAAGAAGCGACTTTTTCATCAAACCAGGGTCATGAGGAATATGGGTTCAAACTAGAAGTTATCCCTGCAATACACAAATCACGTACTCTGCACTTTCAAAAACAAATAATTTTTAAGATCGAGTTTAACCAAAAGTTTATAAATTAAGCCACTTGCCTAGCAGTTCAAAAGAAGCATTTTAGCATTACAAACGTTATCAGGACTTCAACTGGGGCGTCATGACATCACATTGACTACAAAACCACCTACTGAGCATCCAGTCGTCAGAGCTCATATATGCACATATTCACTTCGTTTACTGGTTGGAAAAAATCAGACGTTTTACCCATGGTATGCATCATTTCGAAATTTTTTATATGCACCGAACCTTTTCGAAACGGTCTAGCGATAGAATAACATGAGGGAATATTATTCAGTTTTTCGCGTCGAAATCGTACCACATCTTAAAAAAACGCGGCCGATGTAACTGGCGATGGACGACTTTCAGCCCTGGATGCACCACTTTTTGTTTCCTAGGGATAATCTTGACCAACAAGCCGAAAAATGAACAGATGAGAGAAAATAAACTGCTTAGCTGATTTAAACATGTTAACTCTTTTATTTGTCCGTAATTCCACATTTATTTTCTAAATCCCAACATCGTTTGTAGTTTCTGCTTTTTTGGCTCTTGCATATATGATACTTACAGTCGTTTTGGGCATAACTCTGCTCTAGAATACAGAAGCCAAATTTAATTAGCCTATGAGAACTCGCCTTGATGTGTCCTGTCCATTCTTATTGTGTAGTGGAAATGGTCTGTTGCGTAAACCTGATTGGTTAATTTTTGGCCAGGGATGTGCCGCTGAGTATAAATTATATGCTGTTACCAATTTTTTAAACGTAGTTCGACTTTGAACATGACATTTTATGCCCAAATCTTCACGGCAATATTTTTCGGTGTTTTGACCATCTCGGCGGCGAGGAGCATCCCTAAACCTTATCGGGTACGAAAGTTTCTCTTTCTTATATTATACATTAGATTTCCTGTTACACCGTTAATGGTCAGTCAGTATAGACGTAGCATACAGCATATCACAGTGCATGTAGAACACTGTGCAGTCGAAAAAAGACATTAGCGCTGCCCCAGTTGGATTCTTGTTGGCTTTTCACATTTAAGAAGTCCACTGGTGAATGAGACCAATGCCGGCCTAGACAGTGTCTCCGAGGTTCGAATGTCATCTCATAGGGCTACCCATCTGCATTTTCGTTTAAGACTTTTTGGGTTCGCAGGATGTTAACTGTGACGATTATTTCCTTCAAACTTTCACAGGCTTCACGACCAAGAGGAAAAACGAAGAAACATTGATCGATTTGCTTAAGTAAGATCTGCTGACAAAACAAGTATCACCTTTAGCTTGTCATTAAAATCATTCGTGGTTACCAACTGTAGTTTAGCTAACAACTCCGAATTGCTCGTTTAAATTCTTGCACTCTATTTCTCGTCCACAGAGCAAAGTATCACGCAAGATTTCGTTCCAGTGTAGTCGTTCATGCATTTTGTACTCTTCATGAAGAGAAGTATTTGTAATTTCCGTCTCCAAATCTCTTCATAGTGATGGCGGAGAGTCGATGCAAGTAGCCTAGCATGTATGCGTAGATTAAACAGACGGCTATAGACTTGAGTGTGAAGTTCAGTGTGCGACAGTTTCTAAACAAGACTTGTTTGGCTTAGTTCTGTCGAGTGAGCTCTAAAAACGATTTCCGAATTGCAAAATTCCCGATTATAGTACCAGGACCCGTAGTAGTGAATTTCTGAATGCAGATTTTGGCAGCTTCGGCTGCAATCTTTCACCTACAGAACTTAAGTCAACTGAATTTCTTCTACCCTCTTCCAAACAACCACGTAGATAAATTTACCGTTAGGATCGAAGCTCCATCTAAGACTATTATCAATGTTCATGTTTATTAGAGTATTTCCCAATACTTTTTGGAGGATACGTCTCGTTCTGTTTTCCGTTCACGTTTACCTTTCTTAGATAAGATTTCACTAGGCCACAAAGAACTACTTGACTTTAAAATATAGCTCTTGTGAAAACTATGATGATGATTCCCTACATGACTCTTTGTATTGACATCGCCTAGACTGTAATCTTTTATATTGTTGGCAGGAGTTTACATGTTGTTACAGCAAGATGACGTCTAGTAAACTTAACTTCTAGCGAGCTAGCTTTCACAGCTTCTTCTGTTCTTAGAAAGCGCGACCAAATTAGGTTTGACCAAGGGCTTGTTTCTGAACATAAAGCAAAAACTATGGAACCCTTCTACTCTTTAGGAAGGTTCGTATTACCAGTCGCTTAAGTTAAGAAAATGCTTTGATCTGTATGGAGACTGGCGCCCCCCACTAAAAGAGGCTTCAGGAGTTTGACAATGAGGCTCTTGCCTTTGCACTTGCGGAACCGCTTACCTCGATTCAAAGATGAATTTCATTTATTTTGGTAGGGTCATAATATTCAGATAGGAAAAGTTGAGAGATCCGGGAAGATTATTAGAAGAAGAAAAATGGGTCATAATATGCATTGTGGATTTTGAGAGCGTCCGAAAATAAAAGCCTCTAGAATTTTAACCTTAGTGTGCATTTATCTCGCACTTCCATAACTTTGCTAATGTGATCTAAGGAGTCTGGTCGAATCCAGGCCGAGGATTTCCGTGGTCTACGCCTCTCGTCAAAATTCATATTTGAAACTGGAGTCTCTATAAGCCTGAACGCCAAATTTCGTGTCCTTTGTCTGCGCTAATGAGCGATCATCAAAACATTTTGAATGTTTCAATTTCAGTCTAACAACAACGCCCTGCGTAAGATTCCTGTCGCATGCTTAGTGGCTCCTTGGATTAGACAATAAACTAGCCTTTTCTCATCATTTACTGTGGCATGTTTTTGGGTTGTTTCAAAAAATACTTTTTTTCTCTTTTTTAGTCTATAGATGATCTGGCCACGGAAAACGGAGCACAGCTGACCAACTGCGTTGACGAGTGCATTATGAAGGCTTACAGCAAATCCTTCCTGAGTGGAGTACCTGCCCTCGATGCAGGCCTTCTTAGGAGTCAGTATCATCCCAAATTTAGCAACTGTATTTATAACTGCAACTTTGAGGCTGCCGTTCTGGGTTCTAAGAGCAAACGCATCGTCGACCCCATCGCCTATTCCGCGCTCTTCTCTAACATGTGAACTTGAAGATGGCATTCGTCCCGGCAGCCTGTCAAATTTGTCACCCAGTATTCTTAAATAAACACCGTATATTTAAAATTGTTAATCGAAATGAGCATCTCTTGAGGAACCGTCAGGGAATTTGACAGGTAGCCTGGAAAAGTACTCCCTTTTTACTGCCCATTTTCAATAATTTTCCACGCAGGCCTGGCTTCTTAATGTGCATCCCCGTTTTTGAGCGTGTAATTCCTCCTCATGACGTTTAAGTTTACCTCAGTAAATTATAGAACTCTTGCAGGAACTGGGATAAACGACACTTACCACAATTTTTTTAAATTTGCCGACAGAACATTGGATGGAGCACTACATTAGATTTCCAGTTTTATAGAATATTTTCTGGTGCGCACAAGAAAAACAGTAAAGTGGGATAGAGTATTGTCCCTTGCGGAATGGCAATGTGAAAGTAGGTTTGTATGACTTACGTCATTTTTGTCAATTTTGGTACAAACCGGGGTACACGATCGGGAAAAGACAGCTGCGCTGTTATTTCTTCTGCTAAGCCAGTATTCCACGACACGGAGCCCAATAACTCTGCCGTTAATAATGCTGTGATCTTACCAGACAGTCAAACGAAGCACCTACGTTGGCCTCCTTTCGCTTTTTTTTACTGCAGACGATAAAGGCAGTCAACCTTCCCCGGGAAGGTCTGGTCTGAAACATGGGCTATTCGAGAATGTAGTCTCGACAACTAAGGGTTCACCCAGCAGGAAAGGACTGAATTTGGTATGGAGCCCTACCTTAGCCAGGGAAGTGTAAGCTTTCACTTTCGGTCTGAAGTATGCGAATTTTGATTGGTGGCTTCTCCAGATCTCAGGGGAAATTCTTGGTTTATTGTACGCATAACAGATGAAAGTCCTCTTTATGTGTCTCTTTATGCCAGTGTAAAAACTTTTCCACCGATTTATTTTATGAGGAAATTATGAATTCGGAGTTTTGTTAAGCTATAGATCCTTCCTCTCAAGTCCTAGCGATATTTATCCCGCGGACCCAGGTTCTGTTCGCAATCCTCACCTCCCTAACCGATTCACCAGCGTTCTTTTTACGTGTGTGTATGCGTCTGCTATGTCTGATCAGCAAACTGTTACATGAAGGAATGAAAATGTACGAAATTAACAGTGTTTATAGGTGTTTCAAGGGCTATTAAGCCATTAACACTCATCTTCCCCACACCGCCCGCATGATGAGGTCGGCGGGTTTTGGTCCTTAGAGCTAGGTGAGGGAGGTTAGAGAGTCTTGGAGTGGTGTTCTTGGATTGAGTACACAGAGTACCCATCACCGTAATTAATGATTTCAGGCGACATGTCGTCATCACTTGGGGTTGGCGTTGGCCACGACACAAAGAGCGCTGGTGTCAGGGTTTTCTGACAGCATAACACCGGATTCGCTAGCCGTATAGCCACTGCCTCAGCCGTTGCTAGTATCCGTTGGTGTAGGCCTTTAGAAAAGCTTGTTGGTGTCCAATAGACAGCCTGAAATGCTTCCTCGGCATCGACTCGGTGATCCGTATCAAGTAAATGTGCGAGAATAGAACTCGAAATCGATCCGGTCTCACCTCTGTCTAATCTGGCGGGTATATGTTCACGCACCCTTTTTACCAGGCGTCTCGTTGTACGGCCGATGTATCCCGGCAGTGGACTTTAGCGTGGGGTGCGCATTGGTGAACTTTTGGACAAGGTCGTCGATATCGGTGGTACCATCCGCCAGACAGAAGATATCGTCCACGTACCGACCGTAGAAGGCGAGGTCATTAATGGCATCTTGTAATCTTGTCTTCTCGACTTTGCCCATGAAAAAATTACAAGGAACGATACAAGAGGCGAGCCCATTGCCACGCCATCTATCTATCTGTATAGCTGACCATTGCACAGAAACTGGACATTTTGCGTGCAACGCGTCGGTAGTTCTTTTAGCGTTTTTACTGGCATGCCTATAGGGTAGTTCGCATCACGAACAACATCACAAAGATAATTTATCAGTTCTGGCACAGGTATGTTGGTAAACAGCAATGATACATCCAGTGATAACATCCCCGTCCGCCAACGTTCATATTTTTGATAGTTTCGACGAACTCCACGGGGTCTTTCAAACTTCGAGGATACAGATGACCTTGCAGTGGCTTTAGTCTATCCACTAACCCTTGTTTGTGGGTTTTAGGAAGGCCGTACATTCTTAGTATTGTCGTGCTCACCGGCCTTAGTCGTTCATACTTCTTACTAGACAAAGGGTCTTCTTGGCAGAGATCTTTGAGCATAGTCGTCAATTGACCCTCGATAGCCACTGTGTGATCATCATCTTTCTCGAATTTCGAAAACTTGGAACGACTCGAGAGTATTTCCTCTAGGTTCGCTACATAATTCGTTCTATTCATTAGTACCTGGAACCTGGTTCCATGCCGATAGATGCACTCGCACTTCCACTGGAGATACAGGTCGTGAGCATGGCTGTCCAGTCATCCTCGTCTTTCTGACCTGTTGTGGTGCTATTGCTGTTATTTAAAATCCTGGTCAAGTGTTTGTTGTGCACCAGGAGGTGTGGAGTGGGGACGCCCAGGTGCGAGTTCGACCGCGCCATCCACCTGCCCCCTCCCCACCCCCGGTCTTCTTGACTATGCCTTGACGCCGGGTTCAGTTGTGGGGGAAGGGGAGAGTGCGGTGGATGCTGTGCAAGTCTACTCCTGATATAAACACGCAATTCACCGTGACTGCTTTACCTTGGCGTGGAGCCCACGGTGGATATCGTCGGTCAGGACGGTCGTTAGGGCAGCACGTGAAGTATTTGACATAAAAGTACACTGAGGCGTCGATTTCCAGGAATAACTTTAAGCAACGCAAAGGCAGAACTTAATGATGTCAAGGAATTTCGCGACCCCTTATTCCACTGCGTGCGGTCATAGCATATTAATAAGGTAAATTTTGTAAGTAGAAAATGGCCTACGGAACCAAATGTGGTGGGTAAATAAAAACTGGGATTGCTGTTTGCACATGACGGTGGGCATGGTGTGAAGGGGGAGTGTAATTGTCTAAGGAAAATCAGATACCCAGGAGACTAATTGCGAAACATCTGGTGGACACTGGCCAGGTGGTGGATCCAAAGACTGTATTTAAGGTCATGCTTCGGGTGACGGCTTGGGATCTCTTGTGCTTTTCCTAAGTCGCTGCAATACGGAGGAGGAATTCGAAAATATATAAGAATCTGGGCCACGTGATACGCCTGGCACTGCCGTGGTATGGGTTGGTGACGGAAATAAACCCTTTTAAATGTCCCATGCTGTGCAGTTGTAATCACCCTTCACGGGGCTTCGTTGTAACCCGAACTCGCTCGCCTATGCTTCTTTCCCTCCTTACACCATGCACACTCCTTGTTCGAGTAAATATACATCAGCAATTCAAAGGCGGGTTGCGTTTCCTACATAGCTGCTTATTCGCAGTCAGTACCTGATCTGCAAATTAGAACTTCTGAGCATTCCTAATCTTACGGAATTGAGCGTGTTGGCCAATCATGGGAATGGAAGAGAATTATAAACCGTTGTTGTACAATGTCTCCTCGCAGTCAATTCCAAGTAATGGCAGCTGATGCATCTAACAGCAGGTTTCACGGTAAATTTCACCACGATCACGGTAAGTGTTTCAGCGCTGTGTTCAGCAAAATATATATGCTGGAAATTGTGATGCTCTAGAAACCAACCTAAAAAGTTCCAGCACTTTGGGCAACCTGCTGGGACAAGTGTATTTTCCGGCCGCTGAATTTGTCGCACACTGTTTAAGATTGAAGCAAACACAATCACTCAGAAGTCTTGACCAACCCCTGTTTGCTTTCAAAAGGATATATTTCCCACTAAGAGACTGCATATCATCATTTGTAACGGGGATTCTTTCTGACACAGTTTTGTAGAGTTACGAAAATTCAGATGGCCATTTGGCAAGCACACGCGTACTTTCGATAAATTATCATCGGGCCCATTATATGGGAAAGGGGTACAAATTACAAACGCGGGAGCGATAAGAGCAATCGATTACGGTCCGTCTTCTCATGCAAGCGGGGCGTGTGAATAGGGGCTGTGTGAATAGAGGGGGAAGCGGGGGGAGAGGAGGCAGTAAGTGACAGTGGAGGTGAGGTAAAGCCGTGCCACAAGGGGGAGGAGGGGGGGTGCGAGGGCGCGGGAAGCGCATACAGTTAATCAAACCCTGCCCAAGGTAGACGGGAAGCGTGCAAGAGGTTCTCCTGCGCGCACAGGACCAATCTCTGTAGCCTGATGGCAGTCACCCCCGCTGCTGCTAGTAACGCTAACCCAGTCGCTTGGGATAGTTAGGGGGGAGAGAACCAAACATGTGTGCGAGGATGGAGCTGTGTATGCCATTAACTTCACCTTTCCTCAGCCATACCAACAGGTGTTCTCGTATTCCTGCGGATAGGCACCAACCCGTACGAACAATATAGCCTGCTCCACAGGAGCAAGTAAAGGAGGAAATGCACATGGAGGTGGTCTAAGCTGGTAGTTTATCCTTACCTTCCCCGCGTAGGAGGGGGTTGGTCGAAAACAATGCCTGAACCCTTGCTGCCGGGAAGGTCCGTGAAACGGCTTGGTCAAGGCACACTCTCAACAATTCATTCGTCTCGTCCCCTTTAAAGGGGACTTTGAAGAAAAAGTTTTCTTTTCCGCCATCGGGATGATGAGTTTTGTCGGTCGTTCAGCAAGATTCCTAATCTGTCAGGATACCCGTCCTCGCGTAGCAGGTCCTGGATTCTTCTAAGTCCCTCATCAACGCTGTCTGCCGAACAGACTTTTCTAGCCCTTTACGCCAAACGGCGGACTAGATTACGTTTCTGTTGAAGAAGTACAAAACTGTATAAGTTCGTTTATTGTCCAGACCAGGTGTCCTTTGGATGGACACTTCTTCGGATGCCCCCGTCAGCTCTTCTGCTTAGAAGAACGTCCAGGAAAGCAGGTAGCCTGCCGTTTC